AAAAATTATTCTATTGAAGTTTAAGTATTTGTTGAGCAATCAGAATTCATAGGAAAAATAGAAGGGTGTCCACTGAAAATTCTAATAGTGCATATTTCTTAAAATGGGATTATGGGTAGTTTTACTTTTATCCTTTGGCTTATCTAAATTTCCCAAACTTTCCACAATAAGCTTGTGTTGCTTTATAATAGAAGAGAATAATAGACATTATTCTTTTTTCCACCTAAGGAGCAAGTTTGGATCTTCCCCCACCTCCACAACCTGCTCCCAGGCTGAGTGTCCGTGAAGGACGGATTGAGTCAGCTCTCAGAACTTCCCAAAACCTGCTGCCATGGGGCCTGTTTGGACTTCCCTGCAGTCATTATGGCCTCCACTTTCATCTTTTGCCTCCATTTCCCCTTTATGACGGATGGTTGACTTTTAATGGTTGATAGGATCTTTAACTTTGCCCTCATTTTATTAATAAGGAAAATTAGATTCAGAGAGAGTAAGAAATTTGCCTAAAGTATCACACACAGTGCAGAACGTAGGTCTCCTGCCTCTTGGAACCTTTCTTCCTCTCTGTTAGGCTGTGCTGCCTCCTCCCTGAGCTTCTCTTCGTGCTAGGAGCTCTGCTTATCCTGTCCACTTACCAAGGTATTTGAGTAGAGTTTGGGACTATGGCTTGAGGACCTCTTTCCTGTCTACTGTCTGCTTTCTTTCTTTCTTTTTTTTTTTTAAGATATAATTATTCGTTTGAAAGTCAGAGTTACACAGAGAGGAGAGGCAGAGACAGAGAGAAAGGTCTTCCATCCAATGGTTCACTTCCCAATTGGCCACAACGGCTGGAGCTGTGCCGATCTGAAGCCAGGGGCCAGGAGCTTCTTCCGGGTCTCCCATGTGGGTACAGGGGCCCAAGCACTTGAGCCATCTTCTACTGCTTTCCCAGGCCATAGCAGAGAGCTGGATTGGAAGTGGAGCAGTCGGGTCTTGAACCATGCTGGTGCTTTGGCCAGGGCGTTAACCCACTGTGCCACAGCGCCAGCCCCCTGTCTACTTTCTTAAATGAGAAGTTAGTCCCCCTCTATGTGCAAAGCACATTAATTGCACAAAGACACACACGCGTGCACAAATTGGTTGTTATAAATATAGCCATTTAATTGTAACAACCCTTTTTCTTTTTTAAAGATTTTATTTATTTATTTGAGAGGTAGAGTTACAGACAGATAGAAAGACCAAGAGAAAGGTCTTCTATCCACTGGTTCGCTCCCCAAATGGCTGCAATGTCTGGAGCTAAGCTGATCTGAGGTTAAGAGCCAGGAGCTTCTTCCAGGTATCCTATGTGGGTCCAGGGGCCAAGCATTTGGGCCATTTTCCACAGCTTTCCCAGGCCATAGGCAGAGAGCTGGATCAGAAGAGGAGCAGCTGGGATGCAGACTGGTGCCCATATGAGATGCCGGTCGCACAAGAGGAGGCTTAACCTACTATGTCACAACTCTGGCTCCTAAAATAATTCTTATCCTCTATTTAAAAGTGAGAAAACTGATGCTCAGAAAAGTTAGGTAACTTAAATTCTGGCTTTTTTACTCTTTCATGTTGTTTGTTTTTTGGGGGGGATTTTACATACCCCAGATAAAATCCTAAAAATGTAGTATCACAGCAAAGGTAAGGTAAATAAAAGAATGCCCTCCCCAAACTCATGTATCCTCCCAACACCATGCACATGTATGTGTGTGTACACATACATACACACAGATTTAGAATCTGGAATCATCATAAACACATGCACACAAATACACATTTAAAACCTGGAGTCAGAACAAAAAAAAAATCAGAGTCAACCTAGGAACTGATAGAACACTGGACAGCATACAACTTGCATGTATAAATGCACACACATGTGCTTTTTTACCCTGTTACTTACTAAGGGCCAATAAAAGAATTAGATTCTTGTCGAAGTACCTGATGTTTTCCAGTTGATCTTATATCCTTCTCATTCAAGCCAAAAGACATAGACGTGGCAGAGATGTGGAGAGGAATCTGAGAACTGAGCATACAGAGGTTAATGAGACACCATCTCTGCCTGTAGTCACGTTGTCAGGACTGCGAGGGAAGTGAGAGTGGCTGCTCCAGAAGGTTCCTGATGCGGAAAGGCAGGGCACAAGGAAGGCTTAGAGGACACAGGAGAGCTGTCTTCATTTGACAGGTGAGGAGATGGCGTCAGAAGTAAGGAACCGAACCATGGTCACAGCCCAACACCAGAGACGCTAGAATTCAATTCTGAAAGCCAGTAAGCCTGAGCTTTTGCACCTGGGCAAACTGCTGGATGAAAGATAAATAAATCATTAACTTAGGGTCTTTATTTTTTATCCATCGCTTCACAGGATTGCAAATATACAAGTGCTAAATGAGTGGAACAAGTTGCATTTTTTTTAATGAAAGTTTTTGGAGAAGAAATAAAACAAAAATTAGGTTCAGGATAATACAATGTCAGACTTTTTAAGAAAACTGTCTTCCTTTGACCAGTATGCCGAAAATTGGCAAAGATATTTTAACATCTTGTCTTATAACAAATGTGTACGGTGCAAGACTAATACTGATGTAATTACATTTGTGGACTGGTTAGTGCCCTGTTGGGTTCCCCCCTGCTATTGAGAAGCTTCCTTTTTCCTTCTTTCCTTTCATCAGTGGAAATCGGGTGTAATGAGAAATGTAGCATAGTGTCAGTTAATTAAAAGATATCTGCATCCATTTACCCCAAAGATGGTGAATTGGCTTTACATATAAAATTTTCTTTTTTCTGCTATGTGTTAATTGTATTAAAGCAAATTATCTTGCTGAGACACTAAAATCCATTCTTTTGTTTGATTTATGTAGTTACAGGTCACCTAAAATTTGGTTCTTATCCTTCCATGAATATCAGTTTATTCATTGCTCATCTCAATTCCCAATGGGGCCGGCGCCACGGCTCAATAGGCTAATCCTCCACCTAGCGGCGCCGGCACACTGGGTTCTAGTCCCGGTCAGGGCGCCGGATTCTGTCCCGGTTGCCCCTCTTCCAGGCCAGCTCTCTGCTGTGGCCAGGGAGTGCAGTGGAGGATGGCCCAAGTGCTTGGGCCCTGCACCCCGTGGGAGACCAGGATAAGTACCTGGCTCCTGCCATCGGATCAGCGCGGTGCGGCGGCCACGGTGGCCATTGGAGGGTGAACCAACAGCAAAGGAAGACCTTTTTCTCTGTCTCTCTCTCTCACTGTCCACTCTGCCTGTCAAAAAATAAATAAATAAATAAATAAATAAATAATTCCCAATGGCCTAGAAGACTGCAGAGTCATTAAAACGTTATGTACATACTTGAGCTTTAAATTTTGTTTTCTTGGGTAAACTTTTTAATTGTAGTTTTATCTTAATGGCATTTTATTTCTGTGGTAGAAGAAACATTATTGACATGCCTTTAAGTAGGAGAATTTGTGACCTCAGTATTGTCAGTAACAGGAGATGTGAACTCTAAATTTGTTCCTTCTTGTAAGATTCTATGATTCATTACTTTGTTTCAAGTTAATCCTCTACCTTTAGTAAATTAAAAATAAACAGAGGGTTGCTGAAGGATCTGGGCTAAAGGAATTGTCTTGGAAGGGATTTCAGTGTATACTTCTTGTTACACATTAAGTTACCAGGAGTGACAAATGTGACTGCTTCTGACATCCTTTTTGTTTCTTGGCCAAAAGACAGCCATCATCGATCTGCAGGCTTAAGTGAGTTTGTGAGACTTGACCATGGACTAATTGACCACCAGCATATCACAGGTGCACACATGCAGACAATAAATGATTTTTGAAGTTAACTTTGGTATGGGTGAATGGATTCTCTCAGTGAGTTATAAACTGTAAGTGCAAGTTCAACATAAAGAAAGATTCAAGGGGCCGGGGCTGTGGCGTAGTGGGTAAAGCCGCCACCTGCAGTGCTGGCGTCCCATAATGGCTCTGGTTCGTGTCCAGGCTGCTCCTTTTCTGATCCAGCTCTCTGCTACAGCCTGGAAAAGTAGAAGACGGCCCAAGTGCTTGGGCCCCTGCACCTGCGTGGGAGACCTGGAGTAAGCTCCTGGCTGCTGCCTTCAGATCAGCACAGCTCCAGCTGTTGCAGCCACTGAAGAGTGGACCAGCGGATAGAAGATGGCTCTCTCTCTGCCTCTCTTTCTCTCTTTGTGTAATTCTGACTTTCAAATTAAATAAATAATTTTTTTAAATGAAAGATTCAAACCTAAGCTCAGAAAGAGAAGTAAATTTCCAGACTTGTGTGCAGATGCTTATGCTAGCTGTATATTTTAATTGTTAGAAACTGGAAGCAACCAAATGTCTAATAACTACTGCATGGGCCAACAAGATGTCGTATATCCATGCAATGGAACATGACTCAGAATAAACAAAACAAGACTGCTAATGCACAGTGCAATATGGACAAATCTCAAAACCATTGTACTAATAAGGGGAACTACACACAAAAGAGCATGTGCTGTATGGTTCCCTTTGTAGGAAATTCTGGAAATGGCAAAACTGTAGGGCCAGAAAGCAGATCAGTTATTGTCACAGTCTGAGGAGAGAAGAAGGCGTTGACTATGAAGGGGCACAACAGAAGTTTTGGGACATTGGAAACATTCTAACTCATTATTTCAATGGCGATCATGTGAATGTACACAATTATTAAAGCTCATCAAATTGTACAGTTAAAATTAGTGACTTTGATTATTTGTAAGCTATACCCCAAAAGCAAACAAACCTAGGGTAGCATCTCGAAGGCTTTTTAATGCTTCGGTTGGGGAAGTAAACACTTTTAAACCTCAAATTTTGAAGGCCTATTGTTAACAAGATACTAATAGTAATCATTTTTATGATTTTTAAAATCATTTTTATGAATCTATATCCAATGTTGATCTCTAAAATGTGTTATATAAAAAATGATGAAAGATCTGCTTGCTTTAATCTCATTGCATTTTTGCTTTTTCTTTACCTCTCTGCCCAACCTAGAAAAACTAATTGAGGGACTCAAATCTCCTGACACTTCTCTCCTGCTCCCTGACCTTTTGCCTATGACAGATCCTTTTGGTAGCACTTCCGATGCTGTAACTGGTAAAGTCCTCATCTGTTTCATCAGATATGTGTGTATGTGTGTGTGTGTGTGTGTGTGTGTGTTTCAGGAATGACAAGTACTTGGTTAACAGGTCTTTAGTGAACAACCATAAGGAGGAGCAGAAATGCCATGAAGCCCCCTGGCTTTGGAGCTGTGCTTTGTGCTAAGCCAGAAGTCAAGGCTATCCCATCTCACTTAAGATCACTCCCAGTACAGTGCTCTCTGCTGTCCATGAGCACAACACTTTTATTTTTGCTTTTCTTAATATCTGTAATTTCTTATAAATGAGGAATGTGGGAAAATTCACATATAGTTATAGAAACTTCTTGGGAAAAAGTTGGTTTCTAAGTAACTTTTACTGAACTTAATGGAATTAAGCAGATTCTTCTTTAGAAGGTCATGTATGTCCTGAGTGCTGTCAGTCACTGAGAAAACACTTTGCCCAGTAGTGAAGCCCTGTGAATACACAGAACCCAGGGCAGGGACTGGGTCTGCCTACTGTCCCGTGCTGTGTTCTTGCAGCAAGGCAGGCAAGACCCATAGAATGGCCAAAGGTGCTGTACTCCAGCGGGGGCCAGCCACTAACAATATAGTAATATCTTTGGACAAAAAGGCCTAGAACTCAGAAATGCCATAAACCAACAGGAAGTCCCCAGGTGCAGAATGCCTCCCAGCTACATCGAGGGTGGGCTTTGAGATGGATTAGTGGCCCTTGCATGGCCTAAAGGATGTTTGCTCCCAGGTTACAGAAAGGAAAATTAACGGGAAAAGATGAAGGTGCCTTTCAGCTTATCTCTTCTGCTGTGAAAGGGATTTGCCGAGTGGCTGGTATTGAGCATTTATCTGTGAGAACTGATAATCACTGAGCCTGACCACAGAGGTCGCCCTTGCACGTGCACGCTCACTCTGTGAGGCCCAGAAATACCCTAAGAAACACTGTGCTGGGCCGGCGCCGCGGCTCACTAGGCTAATCCTCCGCCTAGCGGCGCCGGCACACCGGGTTCTAGTCCCGGTCGGGGCGCCGGATTCTGTCCCGGTTGCCCCTCTTCCAGGCCAGCCCTCTGCTGTGGCCAGGGAGTGCAGTGGAGGATGGCCCAGGTGCTTGGGCCCTGCACCCCATGGGAGACCAGGGAAAGCACCTGGCTCCTGGCTCCTGCCATCGGATCAGCGCGGTGCGCCGGCCGCAGCGCGCCGGCCGCGGCGGCCATTGGAGGGTGAACCAACGGCAAAGGAAGACCTTTCTCTCTGTCTCTCTCTCTCACTGTCCACTCTGCCTGTCAAAATAAAATAAAATAAAATAAAATAAAATAAAAAATAAAAAATAAAAAAATAAAAAAAAAAAAGAAACACTGTGCTTCCTGTCTCGTCTGAGAGTGGCGCTGTTGAGACCTGTAGAACGCCTTCGCTGAATTCCCTTGAGAACTTTCTGACGTCCTTTCCTGTACCCTCTCCTCTCCTTTCTTAATGCTCTATTACAAAAGAAAAAGCTGATGTTGCTGTTGAGAGTCTCATACCAGGACTGGAGCCCCCAGTTCCCCAGCGCCTCCCATCTCAGACGGAATCTGTGACTTCAAACCGCACAGGTCAGTCAGGTGTCTGCAGCTGCAGGGGCTGGTCATTGCAGTGGGCCCTGCGCCAGTCTTTCCTCCTGTGGCAGATAACCCTGGGCTTATTTTGCAGCCTGGCCACTAGTTCCTAGAGAAGGGATGTTCTGCACTGTTCTTACAGCCCCGGCACCTAGATGTGGAGTAGAAGGTTTCCTTGCTAAAGGACTGAGTACCTTCTGGACCATGTTCTTTGCAGAGTGACCCCTGGACTTTGTCTGGTTACAGTATTTCTTTATTCAAGATTCTGTTCACTGCTGGCAGGTCCCCTCTACCTCCTCAGTTGCAGAATTCTGCTGAGCTTAAGGCTACTCTTAACTCCTCCGGGTCTCCATTGGCAATGCCAGCACTGTCCCTACTCTCTGTATGTTGGCATCCTGTTCCCAGCACAGTGCTGTCGTCCTTTATAGGTGACTTGCTGCTGCACTGTAGGCAAAGTTGAAATCTCCCTGAATTCAGCATTACTTTCATTGTCTTGTCAAAATTCATTCTTAGGATTCCTTAACTGCCATAAATACAGATTTGATAGCCTTAACTTTTCTTGAGTTCTTAATTACCTCAATAAAAGTGGCTAATTTTCTAACTTGTTATAGAACAATGACAAGTCTGGAAAAAAGAGAAGATAAACTTGTCCATGTGGGAAAAAATTTACCCCGAAAGACAGTGTGGCTCCTTTCCTTTGACCTCATTTGGATGTTTTCTCTTAGAAAACTCCCAAAACACAACTCCCTTGTTTAAAATCTTGAACACTGATTTTTGTCTTCTATTCTTTAACTAAAACTGAAGTCATGTTTTCAAGGGAGCAGTTCAAATTTAGAGGATAATTATTAAGAGGCATTTTGAATGGGAATCTGACTGAGCTCTGGGAGGTACTATATAATGTTATCACAGTCTAGTAACAGCAAGCCAGAATCAACCTTCTCCTAATCAGTTTGTATACCTCGCTGTAGAGTAACTTTCTTCTGAGAGTTTTCGGGGAAAGTTTAAGTAAAATTCTAATTGCCAAGTCCATTTTCCCAAATGGTGTTTGCTGAGAACTGAGTTGCTAAAGTTATATTGGCATCCAGATAACAGACTCATTTTAAAAATTCTCCTGTGTTACAGATGAATGTTAAGAAGAATTAAGAAATACGTGTTTCTATAGACAGAGACCCACAGGGCTCAATGTATTTCCTTTGGTTTTCTTTCTGCCACCTTTGCTTGTATGTATACATGTAAATGCAGTGATTTAAAGGCTGAGATCTAATCTTACGATGTTGTTGTGTGTGCCATTTATGCCATCACTGGCCCGGGATGCTGTTAACCTGGACTCAGATTCTCTCACCGGGGAGGATTCCTTGCTTGATTGCTCTCTCCTTGCTAACCCTACTACTGACCTTCTGGAAGAGTTTGCCCCCATAGCAATCTCTGCTCCAGCCCATAAAGGTAAATTCTTTCTTCTTCTCAGGCCTGCACATAGAAGTGAACAACTGTTGAGAGTTTTCCTTATCAAAAGTCTTTGCTAGTAAAGTCTTTTTAACTACCTCTCCATGTGGAAGACTTGAATTTGTACTCTTAGTCACTGTGTTATAATAGATTTCAAGAAGAATATTTAAAAAGGCTTAGACAACAAACTGGTGAAGCTGTTGCTTCCTGACAAAGAGCCAGAACACAGATATTCCAGTGGCTTAGGAAGTAGACACCTTTACACTCAGCGGGGCAGATGCTTGAGCCAGCTCTCACCTCTCCAGGCCTTAGAACTTGAAAATGTTTCCTAACTCGGATTCACACCTTTTGAGTAGTGATGACTGCAATTTAAAAAACAGGTGTCATTCCTCAAAAGGCAACCGTCAACAACTGAACTTGCGGCAGTCTCGAATTTTAGTTTAATTTGCTACTGACTACTGGGTTTCTCTAATCTACCATTTTCATTTTGTAGGCTTGCATTAGTATTTGTTTGAAATTCTGACAGAGACAACTTGAATTGAGTTCTGTTCAAAGAAGTGGTTTGTGACATTGATGGGCCTCATGCTCGGCTTACTGTGCATAGGCATTTGCTAAACTTTTTTCTCTGCTTGGGAAGTAGAAGTTGGTTTTGCAGCAGGAGAAGATGCATCAAAAAGGAATGGCTCTTCAGAATGAAATTCAAAAAGGAATCTTCCCTAAGATGACTAAAAATAATTAGCCTGTGGTTTATGGTGAAAATAGCCAAGTTTTTGTTTTTGCCGTGATAGAATTAAAATGATATTTTCATGGGCTGTGTAGAGGGAGGTTGCCTGTTCAGACAGTTATGTCTGGCAGGAAGGTGTTAGCAATGGTGGGTAATTTCAGAGAAGTATCACTTGCAAGATAGATGCTCTGCCAGCACTGGCTGCGAGATAGCTCTAATTAGAATGGAGAAGATGCTAACACATTTCTGCTTGAGGCTCAGTGCGTGTGGCATGTGCCCCGAAGTTCCCTGAGGCATCGGAGTTGTGTCCTAGTCACAGAGCAGTAAATCTTTCCAGAAGAAAAACTTTTTTTACCGTGTATATAGTAGTTACTTCTTTAAGATCCTCTAATTCTCTTCTCCTGTCCCCTACTACTCACCCTGCTATTGAGGTTTTTTTTGTTTGTTTGTTGGTTTGTTTTTTTTTTGACAGGCAGAGTGGACAGTGAGAGAGAGAGACAGAGAGAAAGGTCTTCCTTTGCTGTTGGTTCACCCTCCAATGGCCGCCGCGGCCAGCGCGCTGCGGCCGGCGCGCCGCGCTGGTCCGATGGCAGGAGCCAGGAGCCAGGTGCTTTTCCTGGTCTCCCATGGGGTGCAGGGCCCAAGCACCTGGGCCATCCTCCACTGCACTCCCGGGCCACAGCAGAGAGCTGGCCTGGAAGAGGGGCAACCTGGACAGAATCCGGCGCCCCGACCGGGACTAGAACCCGGTGTGCCGGCGCCGCAAGGTGGAGGATTAGCCTAGTGAGCCGCGGCGCCGGCAGCTATTGAGTTTTTTAAGTAATATTAGACCTCTATTGACTCAATAAAGATAACAAGCAACTAACTCCTATGTTTTTGTGATTTAGTGACATTGAAGACATACAGTAATTATACTTAATGGTCTTAGAAATGATAGAATTCTTTCAGTGACCCTCCTCTCCAGTCATTTATGAAAGTCTTCACAGGACCCTGGAAAACATGTTTTTCCAGATCCCTATATTTGCAGTCTTGCTACTTTCATTTCAACTCAGAACAAAAAGTACTTGGCCTTTAAAAACACCAGTAGCTGTACAGTGGGGAACTGTGTGCCTCCTTCACATTCTCTCGTTGCTAATGTCTACTTCTGTTGTTTCTGCTTGTACACTTGGATTCTGTATTAAGCTGCAGAAGATAGTAATCTCATCTCAGGTTTTGATGTCCCTGAGGGCTCGGACAAGGTGGCGGAGGATGAGTTTGACCCAATTCCTGTTTTGATAACCAAAAACCCGCAAGGTAAGAAAGAGGCCGGGCGGGGGGTGGGGACATCATCTCTCTCCAAAATAGAAATGTGTCTAATCTGCAGGAGGGAAAAGCATCAGCCATCTACTGAAGGAGGCTGAGATGACCCAGAATAGACTGATGAAGATAGACACAGAGATAGGTTTCTCAAAGCTTGACAGTGGTGTTTATTAACAAAAAGTATTTAATAGTTTTACTAAATACTAGCTTTTACAAAGTATCAAGCCAAAATTAAAGCAATCTTTAGTCAATGCAAAGCTGAAGAGATGTACCAAAAGCATTTAACATTTTTTACCACCACTAGAACAATCTGTAGTAAATATTCTTCCAAAGAGATTAACAGTGGTGCTTTGGTATCGTCAACATCTCTTGAACATTGAAATCATGTGAGCATGCCATAGAACACTGAGCTGCCAGAGGAACAGCTATTTATTTTTTAAAGCAGGTTCTTAATTTCAGTGTCTTAATACCTAATTTCTCCTCAGAGCAAAATTATGATTTTTTACCTTATCAAGCAGATAGCTTGATGTTCTCAGGAAGTTATAAACAGCCAATAATACTCAGGCTAAATATGTATTGATTTGAAAATACAGTCCTCTTTGCAAGGAGGCCTGCCTATTCCATGATGTGCACAGAGTGCCTGAACTTTGGGTGGGAAGCAGTGGGGAACTAATTTTTATTTTAAAGATCAACATGTAAGAGATTGAAAATGTAAAATGTCACTTCTCGAGGCTTTTTTGTTTCTGTTTTTCTCCTTTGCTTGCTCTGCACATCTAAACCTCTGTGTTTTGTACTGAATTCCTATCTCTCCACTTCCAGGTGGGCACTCTAGAAACAGCAGTGGGAGCTCTGAGTCCAGTCTTCCCAACCTAGCCAGGTCTTTACTGCTGGTGGATCAGCTCATAGACCTGTAGCCGTGACCCAGTAGCAGATGCAGTTCTGTAACCTTCATGCCGTAATACGCATTTTCATTACGGAGTTATGAGAAAATGATTTTTTTAATCTGCAAATAAAGGGCCCTCTAGCCCTTTTTCTCCCACCCCTTGCCTTCTCCTGTAGAAATGATAAGGAAAGAAAAATCACTTTGACCCTCCAGATACTCCTTGGCCAGTTCCTCCCTGTTAGGTTGCTGTGTTTTCTCATTACCCTTCTTCAATAGCATTATCTTAAGTCAAGCACTAGATGCCATGAGCTTCACCTCTGCTGGAATCGACACCACCAAAAGCTTAACAGTAACTGAAAGGAGTGAATCGACACTGTTGTCTCATTCTTGCTGAGAATGGCCTCCGAAATCAGTCCTCCCAGCCCATCTCCTGATGAACGGGTTTCCCTGTTTTGCTTTTTATCCTTATGCATTATCATGAGGATGTGGCTTCGCTGTTGGTCTTCACTCTAGGCAATAGCCTGGAGAGATGGGTGTGTGGTTTCATAAAGGATAAAACTAACTAGCTGCTAGTATATGTTTGGGAACAGAAATTGAGCCCAGCTCTAGCCAACCAACTTCGGTCTTGTTTGATCATAGACTTAGCCAAGGGATTTTACACCCCATGCAACCTGCCCAGCATTCGTCCAGCTTTCTGGCTTCTGCTGATTTCGCAGATCTGGAGACGTGACTACAAGTACTGAGACCCTGGATAAAATGTGTATGTTATATAAATCCCAAGTATTGCCAGTCCTTTTCATGTTAACTGTCCCAAGCTGGGATCCCAGAATTAGACCAAAACAGGACAGTGGTGGTAATATGATACCTTTTATTAGAAGACTTTTCACTGGGGGGCAGAAGGGGGGGAGGGGAAGGAATTGTAGCAAAAACAGATGTATTTTTCTTGTGATTTTTATTTTGAATCAAATATTGTAAATTGTGTATAAATGAAGACGCTGACTAGTTCTGTTTCCACTTGGCGTTTCAAGTCCGCTATCAGGTGTCTGTACAGGGTTATGATCTCTTTCCCTTGTTTAACTACACAGCAAAACTACAGTGTAACATATGGAATCATTCTGAGTAGACTTGTGTGTCGCTATAAGCTTCCAGCAGGTCCTCTGTCTCTGTAGAATAAGCATGTTGTTTATTTTCCAATAATCAGAAATAAGTGTGCTGACAAGCTAGGCACAAGTTGACTGTGGCTACTTACTTTTCTCTCTGATGTTTAAATTGAAGACTGCAGCCAATGAAATATGTTCAGATGGTTTTCCTTGGCTTCCTAGATTAAAATTTTAAACAAAGCATACTTCTTCACTAACATTAGAATATTGTTCATAAAATAAATAAAGACCCTTGCACTGACATGACAACATGCCTCGTGGTCACCCTCTGTACATGTACTGACTCACTAAAGTGTATTTTTTTCCTTACGTGGAAAGCACTTTTATAAAATCACCCTTTTGAAAAGAGGTGGGCACAGAGAACCTCCACTTGTTCTCGTCCTTGAGTGCCACAGTCAGAGATCCAAAGGGAAGCCTGTAGTTGATCAGATTTATCCCAATAAAATCCCAACTCCATTTGCTTGTTGCTCTATCTAGTGCTTTTACTTCTTCTTCCCACATTTGCACTTTAAGGGGGGTGAGAGAGTGGTTCACAGCAACAATAGCCTGCAAAATACTTCACTGTGGAGGGCAAGCTTTGACCCCAGCCATGAGAGCAGCTGTGAAAGACATCAGAGGGAAAGTCTGGATCCTTCTGTTTTCTTTCCAACTTTAAATACTTCCTATGCCGCCCAACACTAGATGGGCTTAGTACAGGCCTCTGTTAGGGTAACAGATCATTTCCCAAATTGAGAGAGGTACAAGCTTCCTGCTGAAGATAAAAAGAAATACCCATCTAGATCTCTCTGTGAGTGGCAAACAGTGAAAATAGGACTTGGCTTTACCCCTTTGTGGACAGGAAAATTGCTGCAGTTCAGAATCATATCCTTTTTCCTGACCATAGAAAGAATGTATAAACTAGTGAAGAAAATGTTTATTTTTACATAAGGATAGTGTTTCAGCTTTATGTTTTCATATTTGATTTTTCCATATATAACATGCTAAAAATATAATGAAATATCTAATTACTCAATTTAATTGAAACCATGAAGAGAACTGTTTATAGATTAGGTGTCTGTACATTGTTCCTTTCATGCATTACCCCTAATTACATTGAGATACATTATCTAGTCATTTGCTCAATAAAGTTTAATGGAGATGGTTTAGGGAAATGAACAGACTAGAAGGCAGTGACACTGATGAGAGTCCTGAGGGAGATAACAACAAGAAGCTATATTTGGCTTGTTCTTTAGGAGTAGGGCCTCAAAGGAGAAGAACTATTTCCTGGTAAAGAATACATGTGATTTGGTAAATGGGCCCTTCTTGTAGTTTTCTATCATCTCTGAACTAGAAGAGTTCATTTGAGGTGTGCATAGCATGCTAGTAATTCGTAGATTTGCAGATCCATAGTCTGAGCTACAAGAGACACCTTAGAAACATCCCTTAGTCCATCCACTTCATTTTACAGACGTGGGGCCTGCACTGGAGACCTGGGCAGGGCAGGCCAGCCGGGCTCTCCTCCTGACCCTTGCCAGTCACTGGCTGAGTGACCTTCAGCAAGCACTTCACCCCTCGGAACTGCTGGTCCTTAAACAGCAGAGGTTTGGACCAGCTGGTCTTTAAGACTATAGAAGTGTAATACCCAACGTATGTATTGTGAAGCTGAGAAGGACTATAAGGATTTTTATGTAATCCTGATGTTCTTAGAGAATCCTCTGTATCCCTGCTATTGCTATAGCAGTACATTTTAGAGAATTATAATGGGCTTTTATTAACCTGGGTTGTTCTTTCCTGGTTATTTGAATAGAAGCCTAAATCATCACAGTTTTATATATATAATATTTTTTCCCTTAATGTTTTACACACACACACCTATCCCAATAAAATAGTATCAGAAGATTTCTGTTCTTTTGAAATGTATAATCAAGGATCTACCATTTAAAAATGGGCAAATTTTATAAGAATGTGTTTTTGATTTGCTTCTATTCCAACTGTGTAAGAGTAATAACTGTATCAGAAAACATCACAAATTGTTTTTTCTCTTTATTTGCATAACAAGATCACCAAATTCAAGTCCCATTGTTTTTAAAATATAGGCCTTGGAGATTAGATTTAAAGGGCACTTCTAAATATGATTATAATTATTACGATTACCAATTTATTTAGCAGACAAGTAAGAATATTGACATCCAATTGAGTCAAAGGCGTTCAAAGGCATCTGGTTGGGGAGATAGTTCTTATCCCAGTGATGCAGCTGCCACTTAAGTTGTACTTACTAGTAGTACTTCCTAGTTAAGTTGTACTAACTAGTGTCATCTTCAGCATCTAGAAATATTTTCTCTTTGTTGATCTACTTTTCCACCACTACTTTTTGGTTTTGAGCACCAAAATCACCCCCATAAGATGAAGAGTGGTTACTGTTTAAAATAGTGAAAAGAATCATCCACAGAAAAATAACTCAAGAAAAGAACATATTTTTTTTCAAGATGCAACATTTTTGTTTTGTTTTTAATACTTGTTTCCTCCTCTCCTGGCAGGTAATTAATCATTTTGATTCAAGCCAACATAGCCTTGCCCTAGGTCAGGGGCAGCTCTGCATGCAGTAGTGCTGTGAGAACGAGAGCACCTTTGAGGCCCTCAGCCTGGAGGGGCGGAGGGAGCTGCGTTCACATGCGTGCTATGGATAGCTTGGGTTCAAGTAAGCTGTCCCGTGAAGAGGCTTCTCTGTGACCCAGGAGTCTATCTTTCTCAGCCTGTAAGAATTAATTAACAGGGTCCCACAGTCACTAACTGAAGTTTTGGGATACAAATGCCAGCATTGCCCAGTATACTGAATTAAACAAAATAAAGGCTGCCTGGCAGAACAGAATTTTCACATGGATACTGAGAATAGACTCTCTTGAAACACCCCAGATATTACAAAGCTATCTCCTGTTCCTCTGCAGAGGGACACAAAGTTAGCCTTTTCCATTTCCAAGGTAGTGATGTTTCTGAGGTTGGACGTGCTTGAGCTTTTTGACTTGAAATGAATCCAAGATGGTCTCTATTTCCAATCATCTGAAATAAGACTCGACTCTGTTTCTCCTGGGTTTCCTTTTACTAAGATAGGTAAGGGGGCTCCTTGGGTAATGCTAACCTATGCAAGCAAAGTAACCAAATGGTGGTAGTTTCTAGAATGAAAGACATTTTCTTAGCTCTAATTTTGGTGTAGTATCCTGAACTTACTCTTTCCTTGTGAGTATTCTACTCTGCCCGTTGCATCCCTCTTGTCACATGAATGTATATTTACCATAGGTCTTTAACCTGTCCTCCCTGAAAAGGAAAAGTAAACAGATGGACATGAAGCTATCTTATGCAGCAAAAATGTGAAATTTGAACATTGCTACGCAAGTATTGTACAAAAAACAAGTCTGTAAACAAAATTCTAATGTAAGCATATAGGGGAATAAAGTCTTATCTGTTCAACTGGGAGCATGAATGTTTAGAGATGTAAATAACTTGAAATAGCTGAAAACTCACTTCAGCAGAGCGAATTTAAATTTATTGTTGAGTGATAATAAGTATCAGTACAAAAGAAAAGTGTGGACACATGTGACAGACATACTGAGGACATTTTGTTGAGTCAAGGCCATCCTAGAGAATGAATCTCCTTGCAGTCAAGGAAAATAAAACAACTCTCTGTGAGCGTACTTTTCATCTGATCAGACCCAGCGTTGTAAAATGGAGCACAGATTTGTGGCTACTCTTCTCTCATTTAATCATTAATATGCCAAGCCAATTTAATTAAACATCTTATGTTGGCAAGAACAACTTTATACCTGGTGAAAAAAAACTCTCATTTAATTGCTTTGTTGGCTCGAGAGGCATGGCATCTCTAGCCAGTGCTGGCTCCCTCCTATCATGTCCCTGTTCTCCAGGGGACATATGGTAGAACCAGATGTGTCAGTTTATCATCTAAGCCTAAAGGTCATGGAAATTATGAATCTGCTACATATCTCTTGATTGCTTGATTTTGTTCCAAGACTAAATTTCAATTGGTGCTGCATTGTCAAAGCTCTTACAAAGGGGTGTTTTGGCTTTCTCCTCAATAACCATATCAGAAGACTTCTTAATACTCCCAAGTCTTCATTTCCAGTTTTGGAACTGTTATTCCATATACAGTATGGAAAAAAGCAAAGTTCTGGTTGTGCATGGTGTATGTATTACATTAAGGAATAGCCAACCAGGGATAGAAGACAGACTTCTATTCTGTGGAAAGCTCCCTGATGATCCTCACTACGTCAGTCAGATAAAATACCCACAGTAAACCCACTGCAAGCCATTCAGCACTAATAGGAAGTTACCCCTAGTGGAAGTGTCACAGTGTGCTTTACCTGGCCCATGGCCCTACATCAGAACAAGAAGAAATGCATTCGGGCTTTTTAATTTGATGTGCTAAACCAAAGTTTTTGTGAGTATTTCTCTGCTCATTCAGAATGGGTTTTTCATGTAATATAAGATATAGCCCAGTTTGAGGGAATTATAACAAAATGCCCTACCTTGGGACCTTGGGCTTTGTGATAAGTAAGTACTGTGCAGACTCTGAGGCCAAGGCTTGAGCATAAGTCCCTGGGGGGCAACAGACCAGCTTTATTGAGCTCTGTGGGGTCACAGAGTATCTTCTCTGTGTGCCATTGGTTTCCAAACGAACTGAGCCAAGCAGAGGTTAAACCGATGTCAGTCCTTCATTGCTAGTGGGCAAGACTGCCTCAAACACATTTGCCTGTCGGTGCATCGTTCTCTCCATATACAGGGACTGGTCCCCATGAAAACATGCGTCTTCCCTGTAGAACACATCCACATATTCCAGGAAAGACCTTTACCCACCAACAAGATTTAACGTCTACCTTCTGTCTACAGTTGTTTGGACTCCTTCTCTTGACTACCTTGTTCCTTGTGCTACCACTCCCAGAATTCCTTAAGCACATGTGGCTATCTGGGCTCCCCCGAATTCTCTGGAATTTCTTTGGCCTTCAGAGTTGCAGGCCAGTTGCAAAGAGTGGTTACTCCCTGCTTCAGTCCCACTGCCCCTCTGAAAAGAATGGAAAGTTGGGAGAAGTAGCCTTCTCTGGAGAATTCTATCCAAGTACTTTTCCATTTCCACAAAGCTGACTAATGTTGAAAGACATAGGAAATAGCTCTGGTCCTTGTTTTGAATGACATAAGATTGGTTTTCCCTTCAAACTTGAAGTGGTGTTCTCACAACTGTGCTGCTGAATTTTTTAAAGCTGCTGGAATGTTCAGTATGGCTTCCCATTATTCACCATGAAGGTCCCAACATATGCCCTGAGCTAGAGGGTTTCCCAAGTGGGTTCTCCACTGAAAGTCATTTTCTAATAGAAATCGTTTGTGTGGTCAGGCATGATCTTCCGTCCAGTTCTGGAGCTGTGGATATGGGAATCCCTCACTATACCTCCTTGGTACTTCACAGTTCTCAAAACAACATCTAGCACCACAAGCATTCACTTCATTAGATGGCTACTTTTTGGCAGTCTGTGCACACAGATTGCCTTAATTGAATTCAATTTAAAATTTAAAAAAAAAACACTGACTCAAGTCAAGGTAGTGTTCATTTTGATTACTGGGTCCTGTGCTGCCAGACTGAGTCATTGGTTTGGCTGCATTTTCCATTCCCTCCCCTCCAGCAGATATTGTGCTCTCCTACAGAAGCAGCTTACTAATACTGACTTTCAGGGGAGTTTAGAAGATGAGGAATTGTGCCTTAGTTTTGGCATTGTCCAACTAATGCCATGTGGGGAAGTGGTTCAAGGAGTTTGAGGGGCCTCTTGTAACTCTTTGAGGCTCGGCAAATTTTATTTTCAAATCTTTACCTCCACTCTTTCATTTGAATTTCCTCAAAGAATTCTTTCTGGGTATTACTGAGACAGATGTAATATCAAAATATATGTTTGCCTGAGAAATTAGGATTATATCTTCCCACATAGGTTGCACGAGAGAGATGTTCCATTTATCTCCTGTCAGCTGACCATTGCTTTCCTGTCACCATGTAGCTGCACATATTAAGGTTGTAATGTAATTAAAAATTATTATCTTCAAAATCATATTCTTCAAATACTCTTCAGAAAGCCATTTGGCACCAGTACAGAATTTAACTCAAAATTCTAATTTGGAATTCACAGAATGAATTCAAGCTGTTTGAAATGGAAATAAAAATGGGGTGAAAAGATACTTTTTTTTTTTGTTTTGGAAAATAATATTTAAGGTCAGAACTGTTTAAAAAAGAAGCACTGCTAAAAAAAGTTATAGGACTCAGAGAAACATAGTATTTTTGTACAGTATCTTATAAAATGTCTAGACTTCTCTCCACATTCTCTTTACAATGTAATGTCTCAAAGTGACTGATTTCCCAATAAACTGATTTTGTTGCCTCTTTTGCTGTGTTCTGTGTGCTTAATTTAAGCAGAAACTTGAGCAGGGGATAATTTTTAGCAGAAATTGCTGCTAGCTATGGCTTGCTGAGGAGGGGAGAGGGGCAGTTTGGGAAGGGGATGATTGCATTCCATGTGTCCAGGGGTTCTGAGGCATCTGTGGCTCCAGACCACTATACTTATTATTCTTGGCCTGGTGGGTTGGAAGACACCAGTGGTGTCACTTTGTGAGCCCACAATGAAATGATACCTTTACCCCCAACCTCCCTCTTTTTCTCTGGATTCTTCTTGCTTAGTTACATATGCCTTTTTCCTGCCCTCTTGCTAACATGTGCCCAATGACATACTTCTAACCTGCTAATATTTCTTGGAAGGTAAGCTGTCTTGCATTCTGATAATTGTGTATTTGAATTGAAAAGCCAGAGCACGCTGAGGCACCTCTACCTAGATAGAACAAGACTAGTGTATTGGAATTTGCTAATACTTCTGTAATGACCCATGCACTTTACTTCTGCTTAAAGAACTTTGTAACGGACTCACTTAAGCAGAGATCTAGACTGAAAACAAAATTCCAGGGCAACTCCAGCTGAAGGTGATTTATTTTGTACGATTTTGATTCCATAGCCCCCCCTTAGAATGTGCCTTCAGTATTTGCATTTTGGGCACTCTGTGGTCTTTGAATAATGCTTGTGATGTAAATCATCAAGTGAACTTGGCATTTACCAGGTAGCCACATTCTGCTGCTTTTCGGAGGTTCTGCCTGTCTGCATGTGGAGCAGCTGACCATGTGCCAGAGACAGAATCGAGTTCCTCCCCAGCCAGTACTTCTACACAATCCCAAACTGCCAGGGTAGAAGTGGAGATGGGTGACTGGGTTTGTTTCCTTTCGTCATGAGCCAGTGCCAGGTAGAGTAGGTGTCCGTGCCTGGTCCCATGAGCAGGAGCGTTGCATAGTTCTGCCGAATGTCTGTGTGCCTCACACCTCCATCTCCTTTCCCACACATTGTGCCTTTCATGTTTCAGAATGTGAGACAGTGGTTGGTTGTGTTCCAGTCTGTGTGCAATTTTCCTGCCTGACTTTTATGTTTCTGTTTTTTCTTTCTCCATTTTCAACATGTATTATTTGGTCCCACAATGTTTTTGCCGCGGGTTGACCATTATATGTTCCAAGAAGAGTTAAACTGACCTACACATTAATTCTGCTTTTTTATGCTTTTCTAGGTCTCCAGAGAGATCCCCATCCCTGTCCTGCCATAACTGTAGAGCACTTTAAAGAATCCACGGGTGTTAAAGGCCTTCCCTTGTATCCAGAGCCCTCCAAAGTGTCTGGCACAAAGTCTCAGAACAACTTAGAGTCTGACTACTTGGCCAGGGACGGCCCTTCCAGCAACAGCTCGTTCCACAGCAGTGAGGAGGAAGGGACGGACCTGGAGGGAGACATGCTGGACTGCAGTGGGTCTCGACCTTTACTCCTGGAGTCTGAAGAGGAGGACGAGAACTGCAAGCCTCCCCAAGGGAAACTGGGCGGGGCCGGTCCATTCTCTCCACCGGAAGTCGCTACCGAGCAGGCTAAGGTGGTGCAAGGTGGAAGAAAGAACCAGTTCCAAGTCCTCCCACAGCCGGCTGCTGATGGTCTTGGGGAGCCAGATGTCTTTGCCACTGCGCCCTTCAGGAGCTCAAGGGTCCCACCTGAAGATATGGACATTTTCTCCAAAGCCCCATTCATCTCAAAGGGCAGTGTGGCTCCTTCCCAGCCAGAGGAGGCGGACGTGTTCTTGAGAGCTCCCTTTACGAAGAAGAAGAGCATGGAGGAGTTGCCAGCTGTCCAGAGCATCTCCCAGGAGCTGCCTGCCCAGGCCAGTCTCCTTGGCCAGCCGGCCGATGTCCCTGTGCTCTCAGGCCTCGACAAAGCAGTGTACACCCCTGTCCGAGCTCAATATCCCATGGCTGGGTTTGTGCAAGGAGCTAACCTTTCCTCCCATTCTGTGCAAGCACCAGACCAGCTTGACAGCCTCACTCCCAGGGGCTCCTCCCACCCTAGTGACCGGAACAAAGGACCTCAGCCCCAGAAAGAAGCTGTCTCAGGCCCCGTGGCTGGCAAACCATTCCGCCCCCAGTCCTTATCCAAATATTCCCGTCACTACAGCCCAGAAGATGAGCCCAGTCCAGAAGCCCAGCCCATTGCTGCCTATAAAATTGTTTCACAAACCAACAAGCAGTCGATAGCTGGCTCTGTTTCCATCACCTCCCTCTCCTCCAGGACTACGGAGCTGCCAGCTGCTGATCCTTTTGCTTTAGCACCCTTCCCTTCAAAAGCAGGCAAGCCGAAACCTTAGGGGCAGGACCTGCGCCTTAGCCTCTGCTTCCACCCCACTCCCAGCTGAGCCTTCCCAAGGAGGAATCATCAAGTGTAAACTTTATTCCCTGCGTCACAGCAGAACTGCTTCAGTCCACAAGCTCAGCTGCAGTGGTGCTCAGTTGAACCCCTTTAAGTTATGCTCATTTCTGTTGTCTGTTTTGATTTCTGGACTCTCGGGACTTCCATCTCCTTCGTGAGTGGAGGCCTTCCACCTCAACTCAGAACTCTGCTTCTTTTTTTTTCCTGCCCAGAAACTGTTGAAATCCAGAAAACTGCACCCCACCCCCCAAAGGGGTCATACTGCTTCTTTCACTTCCTGCAGCTCCTATTCGAATCCTGTTCATTGAAGAAGCAAGAGTCCCTCTTGGACCTGATTTACTCCTTTCGGGAAGGAAATTTCTGGAAAGAAGAGAGAGAGAAAAATCCTGCCTATCAAGAGGAAGTGTAATCCTGCAGCTACTAATCATTCCTGTAGAAGCAGCAGCCCTGGAAGGGTGTCCTGCTGCTGAGCCTGTGTGCGTGAGTGTCTGTAGCTGTGCAATGTGCACCTGCTCCTCTCCTATAGGAAACGTGCGAACGGGGCCATCTGGCGGCTAGTCCTGTGGGCAGGGCCTTCCCCACCCCCACGCTTTGGAAGTTCGTGTGACTGCCAGATGTGTGGGGGTGTGCACGTGTGCCCAGGGAGCTTTTTTCCTTTAGGTAACTCCTTTCCCACCATGCTACCTCCACAATCAAAGTACTCATTTACTGGCATTTGTCCGCTGGCCTCGCTGACTTGAGCCCTGTTTTTATGTACATGTGGTTTCTCATGGCAAAACGGAGTACACAGGAAGGTACACAGACATCCTGCTGGAACTGAAGTTTCACAGGGGACGTTTTCTCCAGAATTTGCTCTTTGCTGTTAACAAATTCCATTTACCTAGTTTTGAAACATTGATTACCCCTTTCCATTTTCCTCTTACAAGGACAGCAAAGAGCACCTTGTTGCTGTTCCAGCCACTGGGTATCTGGACTCAGTGCCATCCTTGTGGAATTCATTTTCATGAGACGGTGGTTGCAGAGTAGGTTTGCCAGGGTTTTGGTTTTTCTTTTTCTTTCCAAATCCTTGCCATCTTTCTTTACTGCCTCTTGAGGAAATGTAAATCTTGAGACATCTAAATAATGTCTGGGAGAATGATGTTAAAGTAGGTCAGACAGGTGACTGACTTATGCCTTTGAAAGTGTCTTTTCTATCTGGAAGATCTGACTCATTCCTAGCTTTTTTTTCATACCCTTTCATTTTTAGTGCCTTAACATAAAATCCACATCTCAATGGGAAGATTTCTGCTGAGGAAAAAACTTAATGGAAAGAGTGGCTGTATCAAGTTCCAACTTGAAAGCTTCTGTGACTTCTAGTAAATACTAGTGATTCTCCATTCGCTGGAGAAGTTCAGAGTTGCTTAACCAACTGGGTTAATGACGCAGGAATTACTGTAATGAATTAAGCCTAAATGTGCATGATGCTCACTGAAGTTAAGGATGTTGGCAGTAGAGTGGGAGCAACTACTTCTCAGCACTTTTTCTTTGTAGTTAGTCCCCACCTATTTCAAATGTCCAGCTTGCAAGATGGCTAAACAACTGGCAGTGTTTCAGAGCTAGCAGCAATGGCCCTCCAATTTAGGTCTCAGCTGTTCCAGAAACTTGTGGCTTTCAGTTTGGTGGATGCTAAACACACATTCTAAGAGTTTGCTTTCTCCTAATTTCTGATTTTTCTCTGTAACTGTGCATACAAATTGTCTTTCCTTTGTATGAATGTTTTTGGCTGAGGTACATGGAAATCCCTCCTCCCCAACTCTTCCCATGGTCTTTATCAAGAGATAGAAATAATTTAAGGAGACTTCTCATCAGAAATCAAAAACTCTTAAAGGTGGGAACTCATTCTAATTCATTGTCAAAGACTCAGATTACCTTGATAACAGCCCTGGAAAATGCTTTTCTTTTGTTTATTTTATCAGTCTCTCCTAATCAAGTGGCCATTTTTAATTCTCAACATACAAATCAGAATAAAGTCATGACTTCATTATGCAGCTGAGTAAATGTCAAGCATGGGTTTATAATGCTCTTTAAATTCTCCCTGGTGGTCCGGGAGGGGTGGAGACTCTGCATACCTTCCCCAAATAGAGAAATGAATGTAAATGCACACAAATTACTTCTGCCTCTTTCTTACTCAGTGATGCATAGGAAAATGTTGACTTGTGGAGTGCATTCATTAGTAGCTAATGAGCAGTGAGTTCTGCAGATTTGTACTGCAGCAAGGCTTTATTCCCTTGCTCCTGAACATCTTGAGATCACGCAGGGTAAGTGCATAGTTTAAAGGTAAAACCTGATCGCCAGAGGTCATCCCGAATCTTGAAATCCGCGTAATTTCACTGTAAGGGATGCCAGGAATGCTCCAGGTGCTGTGGATTAGTAGCACATGCATGTTTCCAGCAATTACACTGCAGCAAGCTAACGCTGAGGAGAAAAAGAAAATATATAATCCACAAAGCACCACACTTTCTTGTTTTCCTTTGTGTTATGTGTTACTTGGTTTACACATTTGATGGGCAATACAGGAACTTGGGACTTTTCATTTCAGTGGAAAGCAATGAGCCAGAATATATTTGAATGTAAAGCTTGGAGCCACATCATGTATTGATGAACTCTCAAAGAATGCATGTTAACTGACTCACAGGCACTAGCGGGTTAATGAAATTCTTTTATGTGGGGGGGGGGGGATTTTTGGCCAGTTTCGTGGCCTTACATACAGCCCTTGGGTCCAAAACCTTGGTTAGATTAGAAATTGGAATGGAGGCAGACCTTGTGGAGCAGCTGGTTAAAATAATGTTTCTGAAAAAGAAAATGAGCAAAATTTGATGCTGACACAGATGCTGACGAGCACCTAAGGGAATGTAGATCAGAAACCATACTTCATTTTGGGCCCACTTACTGTTAAGAGGAATGTGTAAGCTGGTATGTATGTGTTTACTAGCTCATGTTATGTCTGAGCTTCCCTGGCAACCAAGATTTCTCTACACTTCCAAGACAGACACTGATACCTCACTGGCCCGTTATTCATTTAGTGCATATTAGAGTTGCGGGTATTTTCAGTGTCAGCTATTTGATATACATTTATTTCACTGATCCATAAAACTGCAGATTTAAGTATAATCACCAGTGTGGTCTGATAATAGAAATCTTGTGTTTTCTTCCATAAAGAAAAATAATCAAGATATATGTGTGAGATCAAATAATATGTATGCCTTATGTTAAGTAGGAAATTTTATCACAGGAAATTAGAGATGGGTGAGATAGAATGCACTCCCTAACAAGGATATGACCTTAAACAGGGTCACTTGGCTCCCTTTAATAAAGAAAGATGCTGTTCTCTACTGTGTCTTTCGAATTGAAATTGTGGCATGCATACAAATTAACTTTGAAATGGCTGCTGGTCACACAGATGCAGTTTTAACTTGAGAAATTTGGAGCCTAAATGATGGAGAGTCTCAGGAAAGACCTTAGCCTCTGAGAAGTCAGGAGCACCCTGTTGATGTCTAGAGCTGCCCTCTGAGTTCTCAACTTCCAAGGAGTAGACATGGAAGATTTTAAATGGAATTGTGTAATTTAAACTCTTCGTTTTCCATTGCCTTTGTCAACCAATACTTGTAGGTGGTTTTTAAACCAGCAGAATATTTGGACACATGTTACTGAAAACTTCACTAAAGGAAAAGAAGAGATCAAGAAGCTTGCAAATAGGTAGAATCTGGTTGGTCACTGTTTCACTCCATGCCTGGAAGTCTTCCTGGCTTGCCTGCCTTCCTCTTTTGACTATACAGCTGAACGATCACGTTCATTTTCATTTGCCTCCCTTGCTGTTTTTAAACAGTTTCATATAGTTTCAGCCTAGCCAGTGACAATCTCACCAAGTAAAAATGAAGCGGCCCACCTTCCCCATTTCTTATAGAAAGGATGAAGGAAGGTTGACAGGACCCCGGCCTTACTGTGGAGAGACCCCCTAACCCAGAGCAGCTCTCCACCTCCATCTTACACAGCCTCAGAGTGCTTCAGAATGCAAGGAAGTTCACATGAGAAGGGACTGTAGCTGGTAAAAATGGCTAAATGTTAGCCACACATGACTTAGTTCAGTGTTCTCAGAACTTGTAATTCTATGACTTTAGTCTGAGTTACAGCCCAGGAATCTTTGAAGTATGTGTGACACAGTTTTGAGTTTATAGTAATGGTGTTCTTGAAACGAGTCACTGTTACTTGCATTGTGATGGAGCTATATGTACATGCTAAAAGGGTCTATTTGATTACCCTTGGGAACAAATTGCAGAAATGGTTTTTCCCAATGTCATTTAAAGTCGGGTGGGTTAGACTTGGGGATCAGAGAAAATGCAGCCTTTTCACTCTGAAATGGCAAGTCAATTGTATTTTCTTAAGTCAACCAAAGATTCCTGTTTGAGGGATATGAATGGAGTGTGTGTGTATGTGTGTGTGTGTGTGTATGGCACATGCAGCCTTACGCTTTGTTCCATGGTGTTAATTCAAGCCCTCCTAATAAAGGCATCCAAAGAATACTGAGAAGTGACAGTAGGTATTTGGCGTGAACAAATTCTGTTCCCTTTGCCAAAATGTTTCAGTTAGAACGGGAGTTATTCTCAGTAAAGGTGGGGGAAATATGCCATTGCTTAGCTTCTCTCTGGGGAGTGCGGATGAAACTCAGGAGGGCATGTGCTAAGGGCTCATCAGTGTCATTGGCAGGGCAGTAGTGACCAGAATACCACAAGGCTTGCAAGATGTTACTTTGAATGAGGAAATGTTCAACATCATTTGTTAGCAGACAGAAACCAAGACCATGCTCATTCCATGTAGATAAAAGTGACCTCCCTCTGCTGACTGTTACTGGAGTTGACTGAGTAAGGAGGTCTACCCAGCCATAAGGAGTATTGAGGTCTTCAGGCCTCAGAAAACAATAGTGTATAAAACAATCTCAAGGGCTGTGAACGAGGGAAAGGAAGGGGAAAACATTTGCAAAGTCAATCTTAGTTCTTGCAATACCTCTTCTTTGCAGACTGTGGGATTCATGTTATTGCACTCTTGGTGTGATCTATCTTATGTCTCTGATAGTTTTTATGCATTGTTTGAGTTGTAAACTCCTGTATACTTTATTAAAATGGACCTAATCAAACCATTTACACTGTGTTTTATTTCTTACATCTAGGATGGAAGGGGCCCATAGGTGACTGTCACTTAGTAGAAAGTCTAGTAATACAGTTTCACAATGACTGGAGAGAGCCCACCATCAACATAAAGAAGGAAATCTTAGGAATAAATGAACCCCAGATTTTAAAAAAGACCCATAATGTGTGTGTGTGTGTGTGTGTGTGTGTGTGAGAGAGAGAGAGAGAGAGAGACAGAGAGAGAGACAGAGAGGGAGAGAGGGAGAATCTGCCTGCCTGTTTCCTCTCCAAATATGAGAAGATAACACAGTGGTATTTGCCTGTATAGTAAGGAATCGACCTTATGATTTGGGGTGCTGAAAAGATCCAGGGATTGTGCATGAGTAAAACTAAAGTTGCCCTACATTTTCTGAAAATGTATTTAAGATCTAAATCTTCGTTCTATAATATGAAGTTGTTACACTTTTTCTAATTCAAGTTAGCATGAATCAAAAATGCAGTCTGTCTGTGGCTCTGCAGAAGTTCCGGGGATAGCCTTTTCCGAGTCTGGCAGAGCCTTCTGAGGGTGCAGCGCGCCTGTGCTGGCTAGCCCTGTGTTCTGCACAGGCGCACGGAAGTTGGGTGTTGCAGCTCCCATGCATGCTCTGTTTGTATTCACCTTTCTGTGGCTTTTGCCCATGAGGCTGGTTGGTGAAGAAACCAGCCAGGGAGAAGTGTCCTTATATTTTCCTCTAACAGAGATCCATGTGGAAGGAACCAAGGAAAAACCACGAACAAGATGATTTCTGTCTGCTCTCGATTTCGAGAAAAGCTCTCTTCTCCTTTCCTGTTAAGTGTTTTGTCCTTGAGTTCATCTTTCCTTTTTTTGGGGTAAAAAAATCTAGAGGGATTGGCTTAGCATGTCAGTTTACATGGAAGGAGACCAAGTAATCCTTCAACCTGTTTTGTTTAAATTTAGTCTACCGACCCAGAATGCAGTCCAGGTCTCTAGTGCTGAACTTTGAAGATGAAGGTCATAGCTCAATAATGGAATTCTCAGTCAGATATGGTGAAACTAGTAATCCTACCAGATCTCCCAAGTCCTCTATTTTTGAGTAGGACATTTTGATCCCAAGGAGACACACTGTAGACAAACTAGGTTATAGGAGGAGAACTGATCATAGTTAATAGAGTAAAATGAAATACAGGGGCCAGAGCTGTGTCATAGAAAGCTAAGCCCCCACCTTCAGTGCCAGCATCCCATATGGGCACTGTTTTGAGTCCCACCTGCTCCACTTCTGATCCAGCTCCCTGCTAATGTGTCCAGGAAGACAGCAGAGGGTGGCCCAAGTGTTTGGGCCCCAGAACCTGCATGGGAGACACAGAAGAAGCTCCTGGCTCCTGGCTTTGGGCTGGCCCATCCCTAGCCATTGAGGTTATTTGGGGAGTGAACCAGCAGATGGAAGGTCTCTCCCTCCCTCTCTCTCGCTAAAACAACTTTCAAAATAAATACAGAAGTCTTAAAAAAACAAAAGGGTGATTCCATTTTATATAAGGACCAATGACCTTGAATAATCTAAAATTTGCCAAATTTAAGGGTAACTTTTCCATAAGAATTGAAAGTAAAGAGTTGAATAAACACAAATATTGGGGCCAGAACTGTGGTGCGGAAGGTATGGGATGCCTGTGGTGCTGGCATCCCATATGGGTGCCAGTTCTAGTCCCAGCTGCTCCTCTTCTGATCCAGCTCTGCTGTGGCCTAGGAAAGCATTCAAAGATGGCCCAAGCACTTGGGCCCCTGCACCCATGTGGGAGACCCAGAAAATGTTCCTGGCTCCTCGCTTTAGATCAGCTCAGCTCTGGCCATTGCAGCCACTTGGGGAACGAAGCAGTGGATGGAAGACCTTTCTATCGCTCCCTCTCACTGTCTGGAACTCTACATCTCAAATAAATAAATAAATAAAATCTTTTTAAAAAATACAAATATTAAAAATTGTGGGCCAACACTATGGCATAGTGGATAAAGCTGCCATCTGCAGTGCCAGCATCCCATATGGGTGCCAGTTCAGGTCCTGGCTACTCCGCTTCTCATACAGCTCCCTGCTAACGCACCTGGGAAAGCAGGGGAGGATGACATAAATGCCTGGGCCCCTGCACCCACCTGGGAGACTTGCATGAAGCTCCTGGCTCCTGACTTCAGTGTGGCCCAGCCCTACAGCAGGAAATACAAATGATGAACCAGGAACATCTTGTATTGCCAGCAAGAACCAACCGAAAAGAACTTCCAGTGGTCAAAGCTGGAACAATCTGAGCAAAAAAGTAAGTACCGTAGTATTAAGTTATCACCCAAAGTATAAAGTACACATCTGTGAGCCCACACTGCTATAAAAATTATTGGATAAATGGGAAGAAAGACAAATGTCACAGAGAATTTCTATTAATTTGGAAAGGTTCCCCACTAATGAAGTGGGGCATCATTCCACACACCTCCAATGTGGGCTTGGCTTTCGAAGGGTATCATACAAAAAGGGGGTTGGGGAGTAACTGCAACAGAAACACCTAACACCACCTCACGGACGGTCAAGGCTAACATGCTGACACTTGTTAACAAGCACACACATGCTGACAGCATGTGCCCTGGACAGGATGGGATGAGAAGCACACTTCACCTCTGTAGACACCCTTCCAAAACCCCAAGCCCCAGACTAACCAAGAGAATAACACCAGACAAATGTCCTATTGATGGGGCATTCTACAAAATATCTGACCAGCGCGCCTCAAAACTGTCAGGTCATCACAGGCAAGGAAAGTCCGAGAAGTGTCAACTCCTGTGAAACCATGTATCTCAGATGGGATGCGGGGGCAGAATAGAGCATGTGTGGGACAATAGTGAGATCCAAGCAGACGGTGGAGTTTAATTAGTGTTGGTTCCTTATGGGGATAGGGAGTGCCCTGGTAACGTAAGAAGACATCAGTAGGAGAGTGGCAGTGGGTGGGCTGTGGTGGGTGGGTGGAGAGCACAGGTGGAGGGGTGCCCTGGGGAAGGAAGACACTTCTATGGGAGGACAGAAGAACTGCTCCTCTACTTTCTTAGGGTTGCAGCTGGGGTGCTGTGAGTTAAACCAGCAAAAGATTAATAAGATTCCTAGTCATATACACACACGAAAGCTCACAGGAAAATATGGCCAGAAAGTGTTTGTTGGGGCCAGCATCATGGTCCAGCAGATTAAAGCACCTTCAGCGATGCCAGCTGGCTGCTCTGCTTCTGATCCAGCTCCCTGCTGACGTGCCTGGGAAAGCAACAGAAGGTGGCCCCAAGTGCTTGGGCCCCTGCACCCACACAGGAGACTTGGATGGAGTTCCTGGCTCCTGGCTTTGGACTGGCCCAGCCCTGGCTGTTGTGGCCAGCAGACAAAAGGCCTCTCTCCATCAGGGCCAGTGATGTGGTGTAGCAGGCGAAGCCATTGCCTGCAGCTGTGGCATCACATATAGGCACCGGTTCGGGTCCCAGCTGCTTCACTTCCCATCTAGCTTCCTGCCACTGCTCCTGGGAGGGCAGTGGCAGATGGCTTGAGTACTTGGGCCCCAGTACCCACGTGTGGGACCCGGAGAAACCTCCTGGCACTTGGCTTCAGACTGGCCCAGCTCCAGCTGTTGCGGCCTTTTGGGGAGTGAACCGGCGAATTGAGGACTGCTTTCTCTACCTCTCCCCAACTCCCTCTTTCTCTCTGTAACTTTGCCTTTCAAATGGATAAATGAATCTTTTTAAAAAAAGTCTCTCTCTCTTTCAAATAAAATAAATCTTAAAAGAAAAAGTAAGGTTTAACTCAATAAAGGAGGGGAGAAGAAGAAGGGCAACAATGGGGAAACAAATGACTTTTGAGAAAGCTCAGCAGGCCTTAGAAGAGATGGGATGTGTGATAGTTTTTGTGAGAATGTTTGTTTAGGTAATTCCTTTTTTAAATTTGTATTTATTTATTTGCATTACATTTGAAAAGCAGAAAGAGAGAGAGAGACACGACATCTTCCATCTACTGGTTCACTCCCTAAATGCCCACAACTGCTGGGGCTGGCCAAGCTAAAGACAGGAGCTTGGAATTCCCCTCGGGTCTCTCACATGGTTGGCAGACAGGATAGAACAGGACGCACTAAACTAAGCCTTTTCCAACCTGACAAATATCCATCTCCGGACCCAAGCCAATCAGGAGGAAGGAGCTAACAGTCTGGACCCTAACTGCAAAAGACCTCCTCCCGCCCTGTTCGGGATGCCTGCCACCTGCTGCATGCCCAGAGCAGCCTGACATGATCCATATGTGACCTTCCTGGGAAGGTGCATGTGTGCGAAACATCCAATAGCACCTGTGCAGAACACCGAGCTGGGTGCAAAGCAAAATGGCACAGTCTCAGAGGGACAAGGCAGAACTGCAGGCTGGGTGCAGTTCGAAGTGCCAGGTGCCAAAGGGAAACTGCCAGGACTCCCAACCCCATAAAAGCACCTGTGCAGCTGCCCCAGTAATCCTTGTCTGGGTTGCCCACTAGCCTCCTCCTGTCAATTACTAATTGCAAGTGAACCAAAGAACTGGGGTTGGGAGCAACATGGACTCAACTACTTGAACCACCTGCTACCTCCCAGGGTGTGCATTAGCAGGAAGCTGCATTGGAAGTGGAGTAGCTGGGCCTGGAGCCCAGGCACTCTGATATGGGATGCCGGTGCCCCAGGCAGGGACGTAACCACTGGACCAAGTACTGGCCCCTATTTCTTACCCTGGCACTGACTTATAGCCAGTGACCAGAGTCTTCCCGCTTGTGAAACTTCTAGGGAGAGGATGTAGGACAGCTGGATTCTTTTGGGGAGGCTCTGTTTTTAGGTGGATAAAGGGAGTTCAGGGAGAAAAAAAAAGCATTCACTGTGGTATGTTCTGGATCCCTTCAGCAAACAGAGGTAAATATACACATTTGGACAGGCTGTGGCCAGCTCAGTAAGTCTGTGGCCACCACTGCTACCACCAAGGCCTCTGTCCTGTTCTCTGTCCT